CGTCCGAGGGAGATATTATAAACTCGATCTCGGGCATATGTCGTCCGAGAGAGATATATAAATTTTATTTTAGAAATTAGCTCAATCTCGGGAATAAAATCATCCGAGAGAAGTATTTCAATTTGACGTCATTTATATTTATCTCGAGAAAATATTATAGGCTCAACCTCGGGTATATATCGTCCGAGGGAGATACGTTCATAAATAAATAAATTCAATCTCGAAAACCGTTACATCGAGAAAGTTATATCGTAATCATTAAGAATATTATCATGCATGATCTCAAATATATAACCTTTACTCATAGGCCAAAATATATTTGTAGGCAATAAACTCAGGAGTTTTAATTTATTTTGACCAGATGATTATCTCGGCGGAAATATCTACATCCACTCTAGTCAATTTAAAAACATCTTGACGAGAACTATCTTCCACATCGTCGTTGTAGGCCTAAACCCATATTTAATTTTATTATGGCGGCCTTTCATTGGACCCTTAACAAAAATGTCCATCGTGTATATGAGCATTGTACTCAATTAATTTTATTTTAATAGCCTCATTGGCCTTTGAGGGGAATCACAACCTTTAGTGACTCTACGGGCATCACACCCGGGGTTATATTTATGGCTTCTATATTGGCCATTATCGGGGACTACAACGTCCACCATCTCTACGAACATTATGTTCGGAGTAATTATCATGGGCTTTAAATCGACCCTTGATTTGGAATCCAATGCGACAGAGTCATTTTCATTTCTCATTATCTAAATCAGCCCATTTCCTTTTGCTTAAACAAGATTATTAAATAAATATATCAAAACTTGCACATGCCAATTACAAGTTTCTAAATTTACAACATCAAAATCATGTAATGCAAGTTGAAAATTCATAGCCTAGGTGAGAGATAATAACCTCTATTTTTTTTTTCTCATAAATCAACATGCACATAATTATAAATATATATCCTTCCTTTCCTCCGAAAGTCGGTGGCGTATAAAATACCGTAGTATTCGCATCACCATTAGATATCGAGGATCTGGATTTTATCAAATAAAATAAAATAAGGTAAAATAAACAAACTTACATAACCTACCTTTTTTCGTGCAGAACCTCGTGCTGATAACGTGTTGTGAAATAATTCCCATTAGCTAATGTATATAGTGCAGTATATATATAGTTAAAATATATGTATATCTAATACACTATATAATATATAATATAAATATATGTGTAGAGAGAGAGTGTGTGCGTGTGAGTGTGTGGGTAGAGAGATAGTGTGTGATGAGAGAGAAAGAGAGAGAGAGTAGAGAGAGAAAGTAATTTTATTAATTGTGAATATTTTTACACGGTAGTATAAGAATTGGGAGAACCAATTTTCATCTCTTTCTCTCCAAAGACTACATCTATTTATATATTACAAACATGCCTACTCATCTAGACACTTGGCAAAATTATAGGTAGTGTATTACTCAAATAGTGCCACATGCCC